TTAGGGAATGCGCCTTAGCCCTTTGATGCCTGCAGTCTTTACGTTCAGGCCCCTCTCATTCTCCACTCTGCACACCCATGGAGTCTGCTTTACAAACTCAGACAGCCATTGACCTCTCCCCACAACAGCAGGAATCTGAGCATCAACTCTGAGGGCTTCTGTCTGAGCTAGAGGCACAGCTTAAACCTAACAAGGATCAAACCTGTGAAGAAGCATGGCTGTGTTCTAGACTTAACTGACACAGTGTTCTGGGGGTGGGATGACACCATTTGGTACCCAACTGTGTCCTGAGGGCGAGGTGACGTCATTTCTGAGCATCCCACCTTTCTCATCCTGATGTGTCTGTCCCCATTTGGTGAGCATGTACCTTCCTGCAAAGCATGGGCTTCTATTCCTCCTCTTTATATCCATGAAACCCACTCCTATCTGCTCAGAACTTGCCATCATGGGGCACCAGTTGTCACGGTACCCACCTTCCATCCATAACAAAACCACCACAGTTGTTCTGACACTGTCCTCCCTGTTCATAGGAGAATTGGGGAGGTGCACAGGTGTCAAGGTCATGCAGAGCCAGATGGGACACTGGTAGAGCTTGCTTTTAGCTTCTGCTCTGCATCCCATCCCTGATGCCATCTAGGCTTAGAGGGCATCATAGCCAAGTGTCCCTCTAGGCCTCCTGACCTCTGCTATTGAACAGCACCATGCTTAGAGAAAGAGAGCTGGCATCCTCATCAGATTGGCTGCTTCTGTTTGCAAGAGTCCATAAGGAGCCAGTCTGTGGACTAGGACATGACCTCAGAGAAGGAGAGTGTGATCGAGGTCATTGGACCCTCAAGCAATACTATAGACACCCCTATCAGTCATCTGTAATTGTGTCCTACCTATGTATGCATATGGCTTGGGGCAGGGCTGGAGTATGTAGGATGGGGGACTAGCTAGAGAATGGGGGTTCTGGCTATGTAACCATGTGGAAGCCATCATCCATGCTGGGCACTGATCTCATATAGTTGTTTTAGGGTCCTCCATGCTCCTACCCATATTCCCCTCACCCATGTTCTATAACTAAGCCTTAAAACAAAGCCCCATTGGTCCCCTAGAGTGAATTTTGGTGGACTCAAAAATTTTTGGATCCTTATGAGGAAGGGGAAGATGTTTATATCTCCACTGGAGAGGAGTTTCCACAACATCTGCTCATCATTGAGGACAATCATCAAATAAATGAGGGGACGTTGAGTTATTTAATAGATTAGTGAAACCAAAGACACAAAGACAGGCTGCACCAAATCTGTGGTTATGTCACTGCAACTAATCTAGTGGCTTCCAGTGTTGTAGAAGAGAAGTCTCCACCACCCTAAACACACCAAGGACTGTCTCTTTCAAGACTGCCCAGGCTGAGCAGCTCTGAGATGACACTGTGAACTCTTTGGAGAACCGAATGGGCAGGATGGGGTGGTAATGCAGCTGTCTTCGTATGTAAATAGAGGGTGGGTAAGGTGTTGTGACCACATGTGGAAGAGAAACTTCTCATTCTCCAGGAGCCTAGGGCAGATGCTGGACAGCTGGGACCATCCACAGCTGTGTTTGTAGACCCCTGGCCTACATGGAGGAGATCAGGGTTGGTGATGCTTTTTTTTTTTTAAAGGAGCTTGTACAATGTGAAATTGTGTTGGAAAATTAGGAAAACATGCACACGCCAGAGATACTGACAAATAGGGGGAATTCGTTGACTGCCTGTGGACAGGCCTTTGAGGTACTTGAGAGGAACGCATGTGAATGGTGTCCTAGGGCTCCAGAGAAAAAAGGCAGGGAATCCAATGAGACAGCATTTTGTTACTGAAGCATGGAGCATGTGGGAGGTCCCTTTTCCACAAAAACGATGAGTTTGTGTAAGACATGAGTGAGCTCCATCACCACAGACATGGGGCTAGTCATCTGGACAGCTGGTGTGCTGGTCTCCAGGGTCCTCTGGACTTACACAAATTGGACCTTTAGCATTTTCAGTAGGAAAATAGCATATACCCACAGTAAAATATCTTGAGGGAAGAGGAGCATGTGTCCATTCGGCACATATTTTATGGACATCTGGTAGACCCTGAAACATGAGCCACTAAGTTAGAGTGTCTAGACCTTTGAAACTTACATTTTTACATTAGGGAAAGATGCAAGCAGTGTAGAAGGGAAATGGATACTTAAGTGAATTTAAAGGAGGATGTGTTGGGGAGCAATGTGGGGAGCAAAGACACACACTGAAAATCAGATCATGAGGCTATCGTGGGGAGGGGAGGAACTTAGACCTTAGGCCTGGGAGGGAGGAAAGTCATTAGCGAAAATGCTGTAACCAAGAGAGGATAAGCCTGGCATCTGAGGCCTCGAAGGACAGTGTGGGACACAGCTGGAGTCAGGCCAAGGAGGGCCTTGTTGGCTGGGGCTAGACTTGCCAAAGAGGAAATGAACAAAGAATGAAGCCCAGAGGAGAGGACCCGGTAAGACTGGGAGGTGGGAGTTACCACTGGGAGGTGGGAATGGGTGAAGAGCACCAGTGGCCTAAGAAGCCATTTGCAGACTCTGTGTTGCTAGGCAAACCCTAGCAACTGGCCGGTGAACCTCCCTCTAGACTCTTCAGCCCTTGGCCATACTGGTGAAGACTGGGACTTGTCTGCTCCGTGTGTGCCCATGCTTGGAGAGAAAACAGTCTTTTGTGACTCCAAAAGGAGGGCTGGAGAGAGGGGAGGCTCAAAACAGTTTTCAGCATTGTCTTCACTCCCTGTTGCAGTTGTTATCTCTTCCGTTAGGGGAGAAAGCAATATGGGGTCCCTCAAGATGAGGGGTCAGGGTAAGGAGTGGAGTTGGGAAGATCGAGCTACCTCTTGGGCATCCAGGAGTAATTTAGGTGAGACAACACATAGTGCTGACCTCACTAGAAAGACTGGATGGCCATTTAATCAGCAAATTACAGTCAGAAAAAAATTTTATGACCCTCCACCAAACATCAAGAGCTGCCCCAGGCAGGGAAGTGTAAGGGTCCCATTCATATCTCCTCAATCCGGCCCTACTGATGTGTTGTTAAAGGGAGGTTACCTTGTGATGATGGACCATGGAGAAGGCTGAAGTGGGGAGGGAAGACAAACAGCCCAGGGGAGCTCAAAATATGGAAAAAAAAAAAAAAAAAAGGAAAACATTCCTTCGGTGTGGGTGGTAGCTTAGTGAGTAAGGTGCTTGCTTTGCAGGCACAAGGGCTTGAGTTCCCTAACCGGAACTCATGCAAAACAGCTAAGCTTGGTGGCACACAAGTGTTTGCAATTCTGCCTTCAACACCAGTTCTCACTGGAAAGGCAGCAATGAGCTGTGGAGTCAGCAGTGAGGCCAAGTTTATTTATCTTTGATAATTCTTCTGCATATAACTCTTTGCTATTCTAAGGCCAAAAGCCATTAGCTTCCGGCCACAAACTCTTGCTGGCAGCAGCAGGGATCTGAAAAGAAAAATGGCTTAATTGTCAGTGCTTTTCTCTCTCCAGCTCAGGAGCTCCTGGCTGGCCAGGGGAGAGGCTAGGAGCTTATTAACTCTTTGTGAACCAGAAAGAAAAGAAACAGAAGAAAGGGAGAAAGTAGTCACACACATAGACCCATGCAGACTCTGGATGAAAAAGAAAAGAGGCTTGATTCATTTTACACACACACACACACACACACACACACACACACACACTTACTTTCTGATTGGGCCTGATCACCTGTCTCATCATCTCATCCCTCTACAAGTGTTCATGCATGTTTAACATATCTATACTTACATATGCATGCATATATGATACACACACACACACACACACACATACATTCTGATCGGGCCCAATCACCTGTCTCATCAACTCCATGAGTGTTCATGCATATTTAACATATACACATCTATACTTACTTATGCATGTGTGCATACACACACACACACACACACACACACACATTTGGTTAATAGAGCAAAAGATCCCATGAGCAAGTTCCATTGAGAAAGTGCCAACACAGAAAAGAAATCATTTATTCAGGATGAAAACTAAAGAAAAAAGCTAATCTTCTTTATTGCTGAAAGAAAAAAGCCTCACCTCTCTACTGGTGAAGGGAAGGAAAAGCCTTTCCCTTTTCATTGCTGAATGAAAGAAGCCTTGTGTCCTATCGTCATCGTTCTTAGTTCTTATTCTTTCTCAGGAGAGTAGGTCACATGGTTTCCCAAGAGTCTTTACATTCCAAAAAGGGTTCATAGCGAATTCAAGACATTAATTCAAGTCAATAAATCAAATAAGGAGTTACAGCAAAAGTGTTTACATGTATTTCCATTAAGACTAGTATCTAAATAAACATTCACTATCTTACCTTCTAGACCCATAAGCTCATTAAAAGTTTAAAACAGTAATTCTTATGTCATAAGTTAGCATGGTTTTGTCAAGAGGTGATCATGTGCCATGAGTCTCATTTGTTTTGAAGTTTTGTATAGATAAATCCAGTCAATAGTTTATCTTCTGTCCTTTCACCTGTAATAAGTTTCCCTTCCCAGTTTATGACCTTTAGTTATCAGGTAATGCTTTCCCGGCTTGCCTGGAAGGAATATTTTTCCTGATCATAAATTTGTCCCAAGCCTGTTTCCTTATCCTAGTGCAATTAGCCTGTGACACGTGAACGGTTACAGAACTCTAATTGCAGCTACCATACAATAGAGGATGTAAAATTCCTTGCATAAATTTAGGAATTCTATATAATCAATATAACCATTATTAGGAATTACAAAATCATCAATTTGTCTACATAGCATTACTACAAGAGAGTAGATCTTCATTGATCTGCAGAAAATCTGCCCGACAGGGTGGGCTAATGCCCAGGAATCATTAGAATACATAATAATGACAGGAAACCTCTTGTGGCCTTGCCTCTCTGTGTTTACCCATCACAGGCCGTACAAAAATGGTGGCCTACTCCAGGAAAGTCATCTGCTACCCTTTTGCCTTTTCTAGATGGCTCCTGACATAATCCCAGCACTGGAGAGGTAGAGACAGAAGAATCTTGGGATTTGCCAACCCTCCAGTCTAGAGTATCTGGTAAGCTCCAGGTCCAATAAGAAACCTGTTTAAAAAAAAAAAAAGAATGATTAAAAACAGCATCTGAAATTGACCTCTGACCTCTAAAGGTACATATGCACAAGCATCCACATGAACTAGCATGTGTGCACACACATTCCTTACTACTAAGGCCTTGTAGGCATAGCTTACATCCTAAAAGGCCCCAAGAGAGTGAGAGATTTACTGTGTTCTGATGGACTCCCCATATACCTCACTGCTGCAGAGCTACCTGTAGGGTATGTGCAGACATAAGTACTGGCTAACTCTGGGCACAGGTAGGATGAGGAGGAGTAGGAGGTTGGTTTGTCAGGTCTGGGGCCTTGATGTCTTCCTCAAGCTTATGTTTTTACAAAGTAGCTTCACACACTTGTTAATGTCAAACTATGCAAAGAGATAGTTGAACTGAGAAGGAAGAGCACCTCAGCACTGCCCAGGGTGTTGACAGGATTGTGAGCTGTGGACTCTCTCTGCATTCAGAAGAGGGGAGCTCAGGCATGACGTGCAAGCCACAGTGGCTGGTACAGTGATTCCAGCAGCACCCGGAGGGGCACACAAGTCAGATAAGGTTGGCTCTTCAAGCGATGGCAATGATGGAGGTGTCAAAGCTGTGTCCAGGAGTAAGGGAAAAACTGAATCTCTTTAGTTATGCTTGTTTGAGGAGAAAAGGTCCCCAAAAGGTGTAATACAGACAAACTGAGGAGTCCTGAGCAGTGGGGAGATGGGGAGAGGTGGGAGGGCCTGGCAGAGAGGAGAATGTGACACTATGAATGGGCTGAGAAGAGAAAGGTTGGCTGTCACTGTGTGGGGACTGAAATGAAGTTGTGGAAACTGGCCGAACAAAGGACATTTGCTAGTAGTCAAATATTAGATGAAGCCCTACATTCTGAGGACTGTTGGAATACAACAGAATTCACCTCCGTGGGGCTGCCTCGGGGTTCAGTGTCAGGACGCCATGTCACCTGTGCCTACATGGCGTCTTTGAGTTGTGCAGCCAGACGGAGGATGACTTTCAGGGGAAGGCTGTTTCATATAACTCCATGTGGCATGAGTGGGGTGTGTCTATATGTGTTCACGCAGTGGTGTGTGTATGTGTAGTATGTGTATGTGCTGTGTTGAGTGTGTCCAGTGCGAGCCGTGCTTGTGTATTCTGGGTACATGTGCTAGCTGTGTATGTATACTGTGTGTGGTATATGTGGGCTATATGTTATGATGTATGTGTGCACCTGTGATACGTGATGTGTTTTTGTTGTGTGCACCGTGTGCTGTGTGCATGTGATATATGGTATATGTGATATGTGGTATGTATCATGATGTAGTGTGCGTATCTGTATATAGTATACACACATGGTGTGTATGGGATATTTGTTTGCAGTATGCTGGGTGTGGGAGAGGTAGTTTGAGAACACGGAGGGGTACATGCTCTCTCTCCCCAGATGAAAGGATTGCTCCATCCAGCATTTTCCAGATGACCGACATTTTTTACTGAAACACTCTTTGAACACTTTCTGGGTGATGCTGTGCATCTTTTCCATTCACATATGTGTTCATGCATTCATGTCTCTTCTGCTGAGTGTGCTCCTCAGAGGTAATGTCTCCCCATGTCAAGCTCCTCACACACCTCCAACTACTGACTGTTTACATGCTATGCTGGAGAGGTAGACCGGACCAACCAGGGTTCTGGATGTTTCTCTTAGAGGCACCCAAGGCCAGAGAGGCCACTCTGGGTAGATGTCACTGTTTATAACTCAGGGAGCCACTTGCTGCTCCTTGTACCCCAGGCAGGAGATGAGAAAACCTGTGGTAACAAGGCCATGCCTACAGCTCGCTGAGGTCTGATTCTAGTGCTTGTTTATGTGAAGTAGGCTCCACAGGCTTGGGATGTCGCCCAGTTGTAGAGTGCCTTGCCAGCATGTGTGAAGCTATTGGTTACAAGACAGCACCACATAAACCAGACATGGTAGTTCATGTGTCTGATCTCAGTCTGGAGAGAGGGAGGCAGGGGATTAGAAGTTGAAGGTCATCTTTGCTTACATACTGACTGGGTTCAAGGTCATCTTGGGCAACTTAAGACTCAAGAGACTGAGGAAGGCTACATAGTTTTCCTTAGCACGTTCTGTGCCTCCTGGGGCCATGGAGGGCTTTGAGTTTTCACTGGTTCTGTCCCAGGACCATTATCTACACTCAGGGTATGCTCTTGAGAACTGTGTCCAAACGCTTCTGTGCACTTCTGTCTTTCTGTGTTTCTTCTTAGAATTCCTTGTATCAACCAGAAAAAAAAAAACCAATAGTGAATTGGGTCACTTTCGTCAAAGGCCATGGATTTGGTTAACTAACCACAGGATGTGTGTTGTGGGACTGTGGAAATTAGGTAATCGAAAGGACCACACACCAAAGACACACACCAGTGGACCATTCTAAGCTAGAAAGGCTTGTATCCCCGTGGAGACAGTTCTGGTGGGTGTAGCCAGTGTCTCTTGTGGTTTGGGTTCCTCATTGTGACTCTCGTCTTTGTGGTCCCCAGGTACTTCTCCACATACCTTCCAGAACTCTGAAGGGGTGCAGACATGGCGGGCAATGCTGCGGACAGTGCCAACCACCTGGCCTACTTTTTTGGCAACATCACCCGGGAAGAGGCTGAAGACTACCTGGTTCAGGGAGGCATGACCGATGGGCTCTACCTGCTACGCCAGAGCCGCAACTACCTGGGTGGTTTTGCTTTGTCGGTGGCACACAACAGGAAAGCACACCACTACACCATCGAGAGGGAACTTAACGGCACCTATGCCATCTCCGGGGGTAGGGCCCATGCCAGCCCGGCAGATCTCTGCCATTACTACTCCCAGGAACCTGATGGCCTTGTCTGCCTCCTGAAGAAGCCTTTCAACCGGCCCCCGGGGGTACAGCCCAAGACTGGACCCTTTGAGGACCTGAAGGAGAACCTCATTAGGGAATATGTGAAACAGACCTGGAACCTTCAGGTGAGACCACAGAGCCCTCTAAACCTACTCAGAAGCCTGTGCCTCCTTTACACAAAGTCTGGGACAGCAGATGCCTGTGTAGCACTGCCCCTCGATGCCTTTCTTCCCACCCCATCTTCGCATGAAACCAAAGCGGAGTCCTCCCCTCCCCTCTGCTCTCTGTCTTCTCTTCACCATGAAGGAGAAGCTTGTGTTTTAATTTCACTCCTCCGGGTTTTTTTTTTTTTTTTTTTTTTTTTTAAATCCAACTCGGGCTATTTATTACCAAGATCTGTTGGTCTCTCACTAGGAAGGATAAGGGAATCAGTACTCTCCGCACTTAATTTGTTTCCCTATTTTTATTTCCACCGTGTTTCCACCTGGTCCAGGCTGCTCGCCTGGGCCTCCTCTAATGACCTTCCCGCCATTAGTTAGAGTAGGGAAGATGGGACCAAGGACACAGCTGAATCCTGACAGACATGAAGCCCCAGGTGCCTTCCTCACACATGTCAGCTTTTTTAAACTTTCTTTGGTTACATGTACTGATTTTGTGTGTTGGAGGCGGGTGTCTACAGGTCTACGACATGCGTGTGGAAGACAGACAACTTACAGGGGTCAGTCTCTCTTCCACCACGTGAGTCTCAGGAATCAACCTCAGACCCTCAGGCTCAGCAGCTAGCACCTTGCTGTGGAGCTGTCTCGCGACCCCCGACCTCACACACATCTTACCGCTCCTTGCCTGCTATGAAGTTACTAGGTTTTCACACTGAAACTAGTTTGAGTATAGAGCTGTCTTTCTAGGATCCATACTCTTAGCCCATCAGTTTATGAACTATGTATTCAAATTTTTGTGTGGCTTTTCAAGGGCCCATCTCTTCATTCCAAAGCATATTTCTTTATTTATACACATGGAGACGTGCAAGAAATATACAGAAGTCTTACTGGTTCCCTTATCAATGAGAGAAAGATGAGCTGGGGGAAGTAGAGTTTGGTGTTGATTTGCTGCAAAGGACCTGGGACAGATGGGTCTAAGTTCTCTCTACCTAGCCAGCTCAGTCTTTCTCCATTCACTGCAGGGCCAGGCTCTGGAGCAAGCCATCATCAGCCAGAAGCCCCAACTGGAGAAGTTGATTGCCACCACAGCCCATGAGAAGATGCCCTGGTTCCATGGCAACATCTCCAGAGACGAATCAGAGCAGACGGTCCTCATAGGGTCAAAGACCAACGGAAAATTCCTGTGAGTGATAAGCCCTCTCCCTACCTCCTCACCCAGAGGTAACAACTTCCCCATTTAGAACCCAGGTGGCCCCAGGAAGGTGTCACACATCACCATCTACCAACAGAGGAGTTGCTGTCACTTGTGACCCAGCGTGTGTTTTATCTAGTTTGACCATAAAGTGTGTGACATGGTGCCTAAAGAAAATGGAGTTCGGCCCCATGAGAGTTGAATTTGTTATCTGTGGTGAGACCAGAAGTTTTTGGATTGGAGGTGTTTTCTGATGGGGGACTATTAGCACACAGGTAATGAGAAGTCGTGGGATCTTTTCCAAGCCTGCACTAGAAATTCATTTATGTTTTAGAAGCACTTGATGCTGCTAATCTCTAGGCAATCAATGTCTTGTGTCTATAGGTTTTCCTGCTAACACATGTAAATGTATGTGCACATGTGTGTGGAGATCAGAGGTGGATGTTGGGCATCTCTACAGTTGCTTTCCGAGTTATTTATCTTTCTATCTGTTTCTTATTTCTTATTGTGTGTGTGCATGCTGCTAGGGGTGGGGGGAGTACTTGTGCCACAGTGGAGGCCAGAGGACAACATTCATGGAGTCAGTTCTCCCCTTCCACCTTTATATGGGTTCCAAGGATTGAACCCAGGTCACCAGGCTTGTGTAGCAATCACCTTTGCCCAGTGATTAGCTTGCTGGCCCGTCCTTCCACCATGTATTTTGTCTCTCACTGAAGCTGGGGCTTGCTTATTTGTCTATACTGACTGGCCAGTGGTCCCTAATAATCCTCCTGTCTATACCTCGCCAGTGCCAGGGTTACAGGCACTCACTGCCACACCCAGATATTTAAATGGGTTCTTGGGATGACCTTAGGACCCCATGCTTGTTTTTCAAGCACTTTTACCAACCGAGTCATCGTCCCTGCCATCCAGCATCAGGGTCATTTCCCCCACGATACTTTGAGTGCTTTCAGAATGCTCAACCTGAAGTCTGCCTCAAACGACAGACACGGGGGCACAGAGCATGGTGGTAGAGGAAAGGTACAGCTTTTTCACTCAGATATGCCCCCAGCTCTTGGACTTGAGTTCGGTCTGTGCTTGGAACTGAGGGCTAATGCAGACATTCAGGCTCAAACTCCTTGGAGAAGCTTACACCAAACCTGGATGTAACTGAACAAAAATAAGTCTGTGAGCTTCAGCCTGGCCAACTCAGTAACGTGAAGGCTTGGATCTTGGATTCTTGGCCTGGCTATCTGCATTGGGTCAGTGTGAGTCTAAATTCAGAAGGTTCTGGAACAATTGGGCAGTGTAGCTGAGCTGAGTAGCTGGGCAGAGTCTGTGGTCCCAAGAGGCTGGGTGCTATCCTTGTGTGGGTAAGCCTTGTCATCTAAAGATGCACATGCCAAGGGAGTGCTGTAGGAATGTCTGCATTTGTCACCTGTGTCCCTACACAGAAGCCTTCTGGGAACCACCAACCTACTCCTTCCATCGGAACTTTCTCACATGGTCAGACATTGTTGATCAGCGCCGCCTTGTCTTCCTAGAAATATAGGTGTTTTCTCTGCATTTGCATCTAGCTAAAGGATTTCTTCTTACTTCTGATATTAAAAAATGATTTAAGGAGCTGAAAAGATGACTCAGTGGCTAAGAGCACTGGCTGTTTTTCCAAAAGACCTGAGTTCAATTCTCAGCACCCACATGGTGACTCACAGCTGTCTGTAACTCCAGTCCCAGAGGATCTACCACCCTCTTTTGGACTCTGCATGAGCTAGGCATGCATGGGGTACACAGACATACATGCAGGCAAAACACCCATAGACATAAAAATAATAGTAAAATGAAAATTATTTTTAGATTATCTTAATCATTTCTTTTTTTTGAAAACTTTTTATTGGTTCTTTGTGAATTTTAAATCATGCACCTCAATCCCTCTTATCTCCCCCTCCCCTTATACCCTCCCCCCACCCTTGCAAACTCTTTTTTTCTCTGGCAACAGAGAAAAAAATCTCATGGCAGCTGTAGTGTGTCACAGTATGTCCTCGAGCATACCCTTTTGTCTACACTTTTATATTTGCAATTGTTCGTTCCAATGACTTGTTGATCTTGTACAAAGCCTTGGGCTTCTGCTACTCTCTCAATACTGAACCTTGCTGGAAATTCCTCTCAGATGTCCTGTTGTTGCCCTGTGTCATGGAGATCCTGCAACTTTGGACCTATAGGACCAGCCCAACAGCTCATAGATGGGGTAGATGTTGTGATGGACCATTAAAAGCCCAGAATCTGGGCAGATAGCTTGTGCGTGGCTGTGTTATGGGCATGATACAAGATACACAGGTCACTCTGGGTGCCAGCTTCCACCCCACTCATGCCAAGACAGACCCGTGTCCTCTCTGTTCCTCCATCCAGTCAGTCGTGAGGTACTCATCAAAGTCTCTGTGTCATTTCTGTACACACCCCTGCTGGGCGTGAACTTGTGCACGGAGCACACTTCATCTCCACTACTCCGTCTTGTTTTCAGTGCTCATTGCAACAAGGAAAAAGCTGAGACAGCCACACAGGAACTCTTGGTAGAAACAGAAGACTGCAGCTCAATTTCATTCGGATGTTTATGGGCCAGTGTCCATTGTTTATGGACAAGTCCTCCATTTTGGGACAGGGTGCACTCTTGAACCCCACATTAGAAGGAATGCCCTGCCACCTTCTCTTGGGTGTGAGCACAGAAGGATCTGGAAGCCTTTCCCACTCCTCTTTCCTTCCTCCCCCTAATCTACCAGCTGCCTGAGGAAGAATGACAGGGAAGGCCAAAACAGTGAGAGTAGGCCACCAAAGCTCCCCACACACTAAAGGAAGAGCACAGCCCACCTGCCTTCAAATGATTTCCTCCCGAGCATCTGTGATGAAGCTCAAGGATGGCCACAAATGTCCTAGGGGCTGAGTCCACCCTGGTGTTTGCCTCCTACACTTGGGGTGCCATTGCAACAGGTGAGACTCATTACCATGTCCTTTATCCTCCCCAGTCCCTTTCACACTCAGAGATTCAAGCGTAAATAAAGCTTCAGGCTCTCAGACAAAGCCTGCCGGGAGCTACAGGGACTTTGTGTAGTCCTGACAGAACTGCACAAAGTATAAGGAGTCCCCAGGGCAGCCGTGGAGGCAACAGGCTACTGTTGTATTCCCAAGAGCTATAAATTTCATATTTGTGGAGTCATGAAGCCAGGAAGTCACTAAACTGATGTTTAGGCCACAGTTCCTATTTTCTGACTTGTGACATACATTGTGCAAAGAAAAAAAAGGGAACACAGAGGCAGTTATTCATTCAACAAGAGAGTCATGTGTCTGACTGGATCAGCACCAGGCAGGACGGTGGGAGCTGGGGTTTTCTGATCATGCATGCACACGAGGCCTTCCTCGACACATCATCATGCTTTCTATGTCAGAGAAGATGTAAGACATTCAGGTGCACATGCTACAGAGCCTATGACATCATTACATGCCACTCCTTGTCATGGTGTCTCATAAAATATGTGTCTATGTATATACATACTCATGAGCTTGTATGTGTGTGTGTGTTTGTGTGTGTGTGTGTTAGGGAGGAGTCAGAAGTCAACACTCAATGTCTCTCTATAACTTTCCATCCATTTCTGTTGCTGTGGGAGTAAGGACTGGGCTCTTGTCTTCAAGAGCTGTAATCTTAGCTTGTGTAGCCTCTCAGTGGGAGGAATTCTCTGAGGACATCCAAGGGGCTCTGAGAGAGAAAGAGGAGGTTTGCTGAGGAGGGGCATGTCCTATCAGGAGTACCTGAAGAGCCCTAGTGACCTTGTATAGCCAGAACATGTTGCATGTGACCAGCCCTGGGAAGGGAGGTTCCTACAATGCCGTGGCAACTGTGTTAAAGCCCTTATTTTACTTAGTAATGGCTCAGGAGGAAGAAGTAATGATGCCCAAGAGAAGCCGCACTTAACGTGGTACTTAGTTCAGTACCCTCTAGTTTCAGGCATCTCCTGGGAGTCATGGTAACTGCTCCCTGTAGATCCATTTCTGTTTTCCTGTTTCACCCTGAGTCGTTGAGGAGATGAACCGGGTCAAGTGCACAGGCACGCAGGGAACTGTGGTAGACCTGTGCTACCTACATCCGTGGATCTTTCCAATCCACTCTGAAGCATGCCCGCTCGCTCTCCCTTTGTCATTCAGAGGAAGCCTGTGGGGTTCCTTACTGTAGCCTATCCAACCTGCTTAATGTCCGCCTCCTCCCCTCTTCCCGTGTCACGTGGGCCTGTCGCCATGCTTCTTAACATATTAACTTTTGTTTGATCTCTGGCTAATCTGTCCTTTTACTCATTGACTTTTTAAGAATAGTTATATTTTTCGATGTCTAGAAATTAAATTTGGAGTAGGGTTTATTTTTCAAAATTGTTTCTTGGCATTTTTAGGAGCATCTCGTTGGTTGGTTGGTGATTCCTGTTTTGTTTCTTTAAACGTTCCATGCATAGCTAATTTGTATTCCATTTCTTGTGGTTTTAATACTGAGCATATCCAGGTATATGATTCCCCCATTTTCCTCTGTGTCTCTCCTATCCGATGCCTCTTTTCTCATAACTGATGGTTGCCTACATCTGGGGTGATCTTTTTGATCTTTTTGAGGTTGATGCTCATCTGTGGAGAAGCTGATGTCCTGTGCTGGGAATGTTTCCTTCAGGACTCAAGTGACAGCTGCTGGCCTGAAAGCCAGCTCCTGCCCACTGTAGTGCTGGTGTGTGTGTGTGTGTGTACATGCAATGCATACAGGTGCACATGAGAGTGCATACATACAGAGGGCAGAGGTCATCCTTATATGTCATTTCTCAAGAGCCAACCACATTGTTCCTTGAGGCAGGGTCTCTCACTAGGTCCTGGAGTTCATCAATTAGACTAGGTTTCCTGGCCAGTGAGTCTCAGGGATCCACCTCTCTCCACCTCCCCAGTGCTGGGATTTAAAGGATGCACCCCCACTTCCTCATGCTTGCTCAGCAACC